AAAAAATTTTCACTTATTTCTTTTTTTTTATTTGCCGATTATTAGGTAAATAAAATTGAGAATTGTGAAGAAATAACAAGGATAATGTTTGATCTGAAATTAGCATATTTGTATTTTTAACGTTAAAAAAAATTAATTTGCAACGTAACTTTGATGGAATGAGTACAAGAATCACTTCAAAGTGATGTATCAGTTCATTAGATTAACGTAAAAGGACAGCTAATTTAAATTAATTTAGAAAGTAATTTAATTTAATTTTGATATTTGCAAGGTGTGAAAGTGTCTTTACACATACTACGTAATGTTGTTTATTATTTCAAATAATAAATTATTTACTGTTTTATTTTGAAAAGAAATTTTTCAAATAAAATTACGTGACGTAAATTATTTAATTTAATTGTCAGTAAATTGTATATTTTATGCAAAAATTATTTCTGAAGAACATCGGTGATATTTATGTTTACTATTTTAAAAGTTTGTAAGGGAAATCCTCGATTTTAATCTTTTTTTTTGTCATAATCGCTTTTTCAAACTCGAAAATTCGATTTTATACTTAACCATGTGAATAACATTTTTAGATATTGGCAGAGAGCAATCAAGGATTGAGAAGACTACATTAATGTCAATAAATATGCAAATTTTTCGACTTTATTGTGCTATTTTAATAAGGTTATTATACTGCGTGTAATTAATACGCAGTTTCACGCATAAATTTAGTGAAAACTTTTTTTGTATTCTTCGAAGCTGATATCCTTCCCAAAAAAAAATTGTAAAATGCAAAATAAGAAAATTGGGTACAAGGAAAATGAGAATGCAGAAGTACAAGTAATAAAAGTAAGTGGAAAAATCAGTTATTTTTTGACAAGTTTGAAGCTAGGAAATACTGTACCTGAAGAGCATATTGAACCTCTTTGGAGCTCTGTTCAAGTACATGACGATGATGAATATGATGACAGTGAATTGTGTTGGAGATGCAATGATAAGAATGTTAGTGATCGATGTTGGAAATGCGTGCAGACAGATGGATTCATGACAATATCAAAAAATTACGTCGAGGAACAACGGAATCTGTCAATAGCTTCTACAAGTATTGCTGGAATATTCTTTTTACCTGATATTAGTGATCCACTATTCCAGAACTTGTCATCTTTCGAGAATGTTTCCAAGCAAACATTTTTAATATCAGGTAAACAACTTCCGAGGCTTGCGCAACTTGAGCTAGATCAAAAGTCTACAAAACATTTGAGGTTGTGCACTTTTCGCGGTGACAATACTTACCTCAGCAATGATGCTGATATTATCACTAGTGGTAAAAGTAGGTTAAGGTTTGAATCAAATCAAAGTAATTCAGTTGAGGAATCTAGCTCAGCATTACACAGTCACTGTTTTTTTTCTTCACTACGTACTTCACAAGGATTATTTGCTCAAAATGACCAATTATCAGTTCGTGATTCCATTTTAATCTTATCTAATGCCATTACCGCCTATTCCAGCCTTCAAATCACTGCCAAGTATCCTCATTTCATATTAGAATTTTTCTTAAACTTTTGTGATCATTCAAAATGTTCAGCTACTAAATGGCAGTCATTTAAAAAATATCATAAAAATTGTTTGATTAGGAAACTTGCTTTATTATCCTTGTCATCAATGTCATTATCTGTACCAAGTTCCTCTATACCTATTTTACTCACAATACCACCTGCACCTCCACCGACAACATTACCATCTACTTTGTTAACGCACTCCTTACCACACACGAAACGTGGAACGATTTGTCATCGAGAATTATTATCGGTGTACTGTACTAACAATCTTGTCCTCAACTGCTTTTCGAAATATTCTATATTTCATCTGGATAATCTTTCTAACAGCCTAAATTGTGCTCTAAAGCAATCATGTCGTGAATATTTAAAAATATTCAAATGCCTAATTCTGCTATTAATAATATTTATGGAAGGATCAAATGCTATCTTGCTTTCCGGCGCACCTGACTCTTACGCTCGGTAGATATACGTAATATTTATACATTTGAAAGTACTAGTAAAACACTTTGTTACTTGAGTTTACTCAAATTAAAGATTGTCAGAGCTAAAATTCTAACTAAAATTACTTCAAGTTTATTCTTAATTAACATGACGAAAACTTCAATTTATTAAAAATGCCGAGCTTTCCAGATATCCCAAATGGGTTCATACTTTTGAAAATCAGTTATCATTGGATTTCCGAACAAAGCAAAATAATGCATTATTGCTATATACTGACGATGGCGGCGTTCACGGAAATTTTTATGCGTTAACAATAGCTGGAGGAAAATTGCAGTTAGACTTTAGGTTAAAAAATAATTCATAATTTAAAAAATATATCTTTGCTTCGGTAATGATAAAAATAGTAATAAGTACATTCGAATAACAAAAAATAGTAACAATTTTTCTTTTCTTACTTCGAATGATTATTACTAATATTGCATTTATTTTAGTAATAGTCATTACGAGAACTTAAACAAAATTTTTATTTAATCAGTGACAGTTTCTCAAATTTTAAATATTTATCACTTTTCATCTTAGACAACAAT